TTTTTTTTTTTTTTTTTTTGCTTGTTTTTGTTTTTTCGAGATAGGGTTTCTCTGTGTAATAGCTCCGGCTGTCCTTACTTTTAATTTTGAGACAGGAGTTTGCTAAATTGCAAGAATAGCTCAGGCAGACATTAAACTTGAGATCCTCTTGCCTCAGCTCACTAAGTAGCTGGGATTATAGGCTTGCATCACCAGTTCTTACACATTTGAAATTGTAATTTTTTATGACGTATATTTATGGGAGGGTATGGCCATGTCATGGCGCATGTATGGATGTCAGAAGTAATCAGGTGTCTCCTTATACTATGTGTGTTCTGGAAACTGAACTGAGTTTATCAGGTTTGGCAGGGGTGATTTTACCCTGAGTCATTTCCCTGGCCTAAATTCTTAATTTTATTTTAGGTTTGCTTTGAGACAAGATTTGACTAGGTAGCCTTGGGTGGCCCAAGAGGTGATTTGAATAAGAATGGCCTCCCACGGGCTCACATATTTGAATGCTTAGTCATCAGGGCGAGGTACTACTTGAGAAGCTTTAGGAGACAGTAAGTGTGGCCTTGATGGAGGTTTGAGGTTTCAAAAGCCCAAGCAAGGCCCTGTACTCTCTCTTCCTGCTGCCTCTGGATCCAGATGTAGAACTCTCAGCTACTTCTCCAGCACCACATCTGTCTGCATGCTGCCATGTTCCCCTCATGATAATGGACCAAACCTCTGAAGCTGTAGGCCAGCCCAGTTAAAATGTTTTCTTTTTTAAGAGTTGCTTTGGTCATGGTGTCTCTTCATAGCAACAAACACAGAATAAGGCAGCTTGGAACTCACTCTGTAGACCAGGCTGGCCTGAATTCATAGAGATCTGACTGCCTCTGCCTCCTCAGTGCTGGAATGAGAGGCATGTGCCACCACACCAGACTCCAAATTCTAACACTTTCAGGATTTGGGGCCTGTTGTATCGACTGTACCTTCCCTGACATCATGAGGAGTTGCTCTTACCCATACGCCCAGTTGTTCCCGGATCCTTGTCTCTGACAAAAGCACGCGTGCTGACCGTATGTCCACCGGCCAGACTGGGCAGCTCTGGACAGTGTTTGATTGATCACTTTAGGTTCCATGTCAACAAGGACAGCCCGGGCAACGGGAACTAGAGTAGGGAGAAGGCGGGAAATCGTATATTTTATGTCAGTACCACACAGCATACACTAAGTCCCTGAACCATATTGCCAGCCCTAGATTCAGTTGTTTGTTCTTTTGTTGTGCTTTTTTTTTTTTTTTTAACTGGGGGGGGCTGCAGGTAGAGTTCTTGCATAGCCTGCTGAGGTCATGGGGTGGGGAAAGAAAGGCAAAGGCCCTCCCTAGTGAGCTGGAAGGGGGATGGGCTTAGAGACTTTCAAGACCTTTAAGGGAGGGAAGGAGAGGACTGTGGACCACACCTACCTCCATTTTCTTCCTCTCTGAAAAATCTTTCTTTGCAAGAGGCTTGATATGCCTCATTTTCTCTCTTAGAGCAGAGTCCCTGGGAACAGTGTGAGTCTCTAAATAAAGCATCAAACACTTCAAAGCCAATCTGGTTGCCACACTGTCCAAGCTGCACTGTTACTATCGACATGCCAAGCCACAGACTGGGCCCAGTCTAAAACACAAGGGATTGGATAACCTGCAAAAAGACACAGACATTAGAAACCACCACATTACTAACAAGAGCAAGCAATATGCCATGTGCTCATGAGACAGACGGAAGGGGCTGGAGGGAGGCTCATGTGCTCATGACACAGATGGAAGGGGCTAGAGAGATGCTCAGTGGTTAAAGCACTTGCTCCTACTGCACAAGAACCAAGTTTGGGTCCCAGCACCTACAATGCTGCCTGTAGCTCCAGGTCTAGGGGTTCCAATGTCCTCTGTTGGCCTTCCCAGGCATTGCATGCACATGGTGCACATATAGATATACAGGTATTCACATAAAGATATGCAGGTATTCACATACAACATAAAGATAAATAAAAGTTTTAGAAAATTAAAAATATGTGTACATGGGGGCTGGAGAGATGACTCAGATGTTACGAGAACTGGCTGCTATTTCAGAGGTCCCTAGTTTACTTCCCAGCAATCACACAATTGCTAACAACCATCCATGAGATCTGGTCCCCTCTTGTGGCATGCAGGTATACATGTAGGCAGAAAGCTGTATACATAATAAATAAATCAGCCAAGTGGTAGTATGCTTGTCTTTAATTCTAGTACTTGGGAGGCAGAGGCATGAATCCCTGTGTTTGAGGCCAGCCTGGTCTATAGCACTAATTCCAGGACAGCCAGGGCTACTCAAAAAAAAAAAAAAAAAAAAAAAAAAAAAGAGGAAAAACAACTTAAACAAATAAGAAAAAAAATATATGTGCATTAACAAAAAGTAACTTTTTGTCTGGACCTGGAGGCCTACACCTTTAATTCTAGCACTCAGGAGGCAGAGGCTTGTGGATCTCTGTAAGTCCAGGTCAGCTCATGAGACTGTCTAAAATGTGTGTGTGTGTGTGTTTATACATTTGTTTTTGAGACAGGGTCTCATGACATAGCTCTGGCTGGCCTGGCTTTGAATTCACAGAGATCAGTTTGTTTCTATCTCTGGAGTGCTGGGATTAAAGGCATGCAGCACCATGCTCGACAATCTATGATTCTTACTTTGCCATCAAAAAGCACTTCAGAACGAGCTGAAGGAAGCAGCGTTGATGTTTATTAAGAAGGGATTTTAGCGGATTTAAGTAACGGTACTGATGGAAAGAGAGGCACTTAAGAAAAGGATATTGCATCCCCAGTGTGGGGCATGGACTGCTCAAGAAGCAATCACATTAAAGTGTCTTAGCCACAACTACATATGTTAATGTGCTTTTGTTGTCTTCTTACTTACCTTTTATTTATTTATTTTTAAATTTTTATTTATTATGTATACAGTGTTCTATCTGCATGTATGCCAACCCGCCAGAAGAGGGCACCAGACCTCATTACAGATGGTTGTGAGCCACCATGTGGTTGCTGGGAATTGAACTCAGAACCTCAGGAAGAGCAATCAGTGCTCTTAACCTCTGAGCCATCTCTCAAGCCCCTTATTTATTTATTTATTGAGACAGGGTCTCACTGTGTGGCTCTGGCTGTCCTGGAATTCACTATGTAGACCAGGCTAGCCTCAAGCATATAGAAATCCACCTACCTCTCTCTCTCCTGAGTGCTGTAAATTTGCTTTGTTTGTTTTGAGACAAGGTTTCTCTGTGAAACAGTTTTGCTTATCATGGAACCAGCTCTGGAGAGCAGGCTGGCCTCGAACTCACAGAGATCCGCTTGCATCTGCCTCCTGAGTGCTGAGATTAAAGGCGTGCGCCACCACCACCTGGCCTGTAAATTTATTCTTAGTGAAAATATTTTGGGGCTGCCTGTTTGTCTGTCAACTACATGCGATGCTGGGAACTGAACCTGGATCCTCTGCAAGAACAGCAAATTCTCCTAACTGTTGAGGCCTCTCTTCAGCTGGCTTTTAATGTCTTCTCACATTGCACGGTCCAGACTTTCTAAGAGAATTATTTTTCTTTCCCTCTCTTTTGGTTCCTCGTGTGCACTGGGGAGGACGACAGGCGGCTAAGGTAAACAGTACGGCACAAAGGCTGCAGTAAGGCCGCACTGGAGACTCATAATCTTAGGCCTTACACATGGCTCCTTACTATTTTAACATTCCTATTTGAGATAGCTCTATATAAAAGGAATATTGTCTCTACATCGGCAACTTGCACAGAGCTTTTTGCCAATAGTCTGCATGTGTGTGGCCCTTGTTTTCTGCCGGGTTTGAGGCCCGGTTGAACTCTCTCTGGTTGCTTGCAGCTGTGTATCAGGCTAGGTGACCTGTGACTCCGGGGATTCTCTGGCCCCACTTCCCATCTTTCCAGAGGAGTGCTGTGATTACAGATGTGTGCTACTGCACCTGGTTTAAAATGGGTTCTGAGATTTGAACTCAGGTCCTCACACTTGCACAGCAAATGCCTCACCCCCTGCACCATTTCCCTGTCCCCTGTGCTGCAATCTTGACTTTCAGGTGGTGAGACCTCACTATACTCTGGGGTAAAGTACCCCATTCTTGACCTCCCCACGTTCATAATTTTACCTGTCTTTCTGTCCTGCCTCCATCTAAGAATCCAGTCATTTAAAGACATCCTCTTACACTATATAATATGGGAGGGGGATCTGGGGTACTCAAATTCATTCACACATAGATCAATAGTTTCCAAATATGATTTGTACTCACTGTTTTCCCCAAGTATGGTTTTAAGAAACCAAACCAAAACAAAATGTTGGTTGAGGGAGCTATGTAATCATGAGAACCGGAGTTCGGATGCCAGCACCCACACAACCAGCCAGGTGTCCTGTGCAGACCTGTAGTTCCAGGTCCAGGTAGGTGCAGACAGAAGGACCCCTGGGGATGGCTTCCAGCTTGACTGAGAAGCTGAAGCCCCAGGTTCAGAGAGGTGCTGGAGGGATGGGGTTGGGCAGGGGGGGGGGATATATAGAGAGAGTGTGTGTGTGTGTGTGTATCTTTCCAAAAGGAATATGTGAGGAGTAATAAAGGAAATACTGTGATAACCAACCGGGATGCCCTCTTCTCTGCATTTGCGTAAGTGCTCACATCTACACGCATGCGCACGTACACTCACATGTAAATGATCTAATGTTAATATAATGTTGATTGAAGGAATTCTTTGTATTCACTTCACACCGCATGGACATTGGAAGTTAGCTTAATAACAGAACATCCATCGAACATTAATTTTCTGTCTTTCAAGAAAATAACTTATTCTTTTTCCACAAGGCAGCTTCTGGCCTGCTAAGTACAATTAAAATCAGTAAGGAATGTTTTGTTTAGTTCCAGTATTAAAACAAAGTTGGAGCCGGGCATAATGGCGCATGCTTTTAATTCCAGCACTTGGGAAGCAGATACAGGCGGATCTCTGTGAATTCAAGGCCAGTCTGGTCTAGAGTGAGTTCCAGCAGATTCTGGGCTACATAGTGAGACTTGGACTCGGAAAGAAAAACAAAGTTGGAGCTTAGAGTAAGGCCAGATAAAAATTAAAGTAAGTCTTATTAGTTTCATACAACAAAAAAGCATTCTTTGTTTTGAGACGGGGTTTCCCCCATGTAGCCCAATCAGTTCTGGACTGGCAGGGTTCAAGCACGTGACCTTTCTACTTCAGACTCCCTGAGAGCAGGGATTATAGGTGTGCGCCACTATGCCCGGTAAAAGAGTGTTTTTGATAAATGCATCAATCCTATGTAGCCCTGGAAATGAGCAGAGGCTAGCGAACCAGATTTTCAACTTAACGGCTAAGCCTGCGTTGTAGGTAATACTATTCTTATTTTACAGATAAGGAAATTGAGTTACCAAAGGATTATGAAACTTTCCAAAGCCACTGAATTAACAAATATCAAGGCCAAGACGTTCTCTTTGCCTTTCTGCCCTATCAGCTCCCCATTAGCCCCACACTCACTGACAGCTCTCGGACCCGCAGTTTCGGTTCGGTTCAAACTTCAGAAGACCAGCCCTCTCACTATGCGCATGCTCACTTCAAATACTTCTTAAAAGAACTACTGAGAACAAATTAATGCGCATGCTCCTTATACGAAGAGCTCTGCTGAGGCTTTTTTTTTTTTTCCTTTCCTCCTATTTAGAATAGTTAATCACGCATGTTCAATTTTAATTTATGAACTTCAGATATGGTACGCATGCTCGGTGTCCAGTAAAACGCCTTAGACAGTAACGCGCATGCTCTACTTTCCGGGTTTGGCTTCGGTTGGTGATCTGCGCATGTTCCTGCCAGTACCTGGAGCCGGGAGATAGTGCTACGCATGTCCGCTGCCCACAGTTGGCTTCACGAACCCTTGTACGCATGCTCCGGGGCTGAACTTGAGGAGCCAGTCTGGGGCCTAAGCGCAGACGCATTGAGCTTAAGCAGCTGGTGATGGCGGCAGCAGCAGTGGAGTCTGCGGCGGGTCCGGGCCCATGAGGCGACGACGGAGGCGGGACGGCTTTTACCCAGCGCCTGACTTCCGAGACAGGGAAGCTGAGGACATGGCAGGAGTGTTTGACATAGACCTGGACCAGCCAGAGGACGCAGGCTCTGAGGATGAGCTGGAGGAGGGGGTGAGGCCCGGGGTCCCCGGGGATGTGGCGCGGGGTGGGGTGGGGGGGAAACGGGACGATGAGGTGACAGGGCCGGGGTGGCGGCGTGGGCCCGGGAAGCCTGGTGTGTCCTAGGGCGCGGAGACCCGGGGGGACGCGAGCGGTCTCCGAGAGGAGCCGAAACACCGCGCGGCCGACGAGGGAGAGGGAGCAGGCGGGATGGCGGGCGGGCTGGCGGGCGGGCGGGCGGGGCGGACCTGGCCCTAGGTGTGAGGCCTCTGCGGGGCGCGCAGGTGCAGGTCTCGCCCTGGTCCCTAGAGCAGCGCAGCCCAGAGCGATGTGTTTCGGGACCGCCGAGGAGGAACGGCGCGCGCTCGGCTCCTGAATGTGGCCGGGGTGGTGCGAGCGTGTGCTGCGGGGTGGGGCGGGGGGGAGCTGCTCTTGCTGGGTGTCCCCTAAGTGCAGGTGTGAGGCGCGAAGGGCTTCCCCCTGGAGTGTTAGATGGCAAGTCTTGAGCTCTTCAGACTCCCCACAACCACCTCTCTTCTCGGCCTGTCGCTTCTCTCCTAGGAAGCGCTCAGCTGTTAGAAGTGACAGCTGAAAACTTCTGTCGGGAGTAGCACTGCCGCTGCTGTTACAGCCACCAGAAGTTTTATTTCGGGAGCAAGGGGGCCCTACTGCATCTTCCAGGGTTTGTTTGTTTGCCTTTTATTTTTAACCCCCCTTCCGTGTGACATTTTAAAGGAAAAAAAAAAAGCATTCATAATGACACACGGCATTTGTAAGTTAATTTCCCTCAAGTTGAAGATGTCTATATTTTTTTTTCGGAATAATTTATGTAATTGTAGGGTGGGGAAAAAAACCCAGCGTTGACAGCTGTGATTTGTCTCGCCCGAAATAAATTGCTTGAACAGAGACTTGTGAATAGTGGTGTGAGGGCTTTCCTTGCTGAAGTTTAAATTTAGAATCGCTTTTCCTAACGCACATCTTGGTTTTACCTTTGCTGTCCTAGGAGTTTATTTATGGAACATCACCTTTTCTAAAATAACATTTATTGAAACATACACATATTACACCGAGGGTCAAAAAAAAAAATGAGATGTCAAACTGAAGAACCGATTCAGGGCAAATGCCCTCAGTAAAAACCTCATGGGGATTTCATAAGAATATGGATTTATGGCTGATGTTAGGTATTTGCTACATTTGCATAAGGGCTCTTTTCTCATCCCCAGTTTTCCTTCTTTAATAAATAAATTGTCAAAAGGTTGAAAGACTCTGTATAAAGGACTCTGAACCTTTTACGAAATTAAGTGGGCCAACCAAGCTTTGCTCTTTTTATAATTGAGTGACTCTCGGGGTCACACAGATCCAAATGTGGGTTTTGAGACACACACACACTTTTTAAATGTGGAATTCCACTTAGCCTTTTAATCAGACGTGGTGGATACTAAATTTGAAACAAATACAGGATTACTTTAATTATAAATATGATACACTGTTGAGTTACATTGTTTCCATATGGCAGTGGCTTTGGAGTAGGGCCAGAGAGTGAACTGCAGAGGAGAGTGGCTTTATGGGAATATTGTCATTAGTGACTGGTGGAATTTTCAGTCTGTGGGTTCATCGTCTTTGGAGAGTACAATATTGTGATTCTTGGGACGAACTCTGGGGCCTTGTTTGTTTTTCTTTTCGCTTTCTTAATGTACTTCAAGAGCAGTAGGAGTTCCAGGTCTGGCCTACTCTTGGGACAGAAAAAGTGGGTAAGAGAATGGAATGTGACCACTACCTTAGGGAAAAGGTTAGGAGGAAGAGCAGAAGTAATTACGGACGATTTTGAAGAGGAGTGCTTTTAGAGTTGAAATGTTTCTCTTGAGTGCATTCTTTAAAAACAACCAAAACCAAAGCTGGGCAGTGGTGGCGCACGCCTTTAATCCCAGCACTTGTGTGGCAGAGGCAGGCTGATCTATGTGAGTTCAAGGCCAGGCTGGTCTACAAAGTAAGTGCCAGGATAGCCAGGGCTACACATGGAAACCCAGTCTCGAAAAACTAAGGGGGGAAAAAAAACCCCCAAAACAGTGTGTCACTGTGTAGCCATGTGGCTTCAAACTCCAAATTCTCCTACATCGGGCTCCTGAGTGCCAAGAATACAGGCTGGGTGCACCTGTTAGGCCTTCATTGTTACTAAGGGATGTCTTAATGTCTCTCGAGGTGGAAAAAGGGATGGAGTTGGGTCAGCTGCCTAAAGAGAATCAGTCTCATGGGGAAAAAAAGTTTAAAAATTTTTAAGTATGGTAACAGTTTTGATTCTTAGAAAATCTTATGTTTCCTCTGATAGTTTCTTTCTTTCTCTCTTTTTTTTTTCTTTTTCAAGACAGGGTTTCTCAGTAGCTTTGGAGCCAGCAGCTTTTAGTTTCTTATGTAAATCGTTCAGAACAGTCCCATTTCTTTCTTTTATAATGAGGAAACTGAGGCATAGACCAGAGAAGTGATTGCCCACAATTAGTATCTTCTGACTCATTTGAGCAGATTGTATTATATAGATTTAAATATCTTGGGCCAGATGGATGGCCCAGTGGGTAAAGGCACTTGCTAACAGAAGTTTTGTGCTGAAGACTTGAGTTTGATAAATTTGATTGACATGAGCTTACTCTAGCTATCCTGGCCTTCAACTTGTGGTTCTTCTTGATCCTCCTGACCCTCTTCTCTCCTGTGTGTTGGGGTTGTAAGTTTGCACACCCCCCCCCAAATCTGGCTTGCACACGGATTCTTTCTTTCACATTTATTTATTTTGATGAGGTAGGTGTGCAGTAGCACATGTATGGAGGTCAGAGGACAATTTGCGAGAGGTCAGTTCTCTCTTTCCATCATGTGGAGAATCTGAATCAAACTTAGGTCCTCAGACTCACCAGCTGAGCCATTCCCTTGACTCCCGCATAGGTTCTTTTCAAATTGTTACTACATTTGTATGTGTGCAGACGCATTTCTATGTGTGTGTGTGTGCGTGTATGCATGTGTGGCATTATGCTATAGTGCACATTGTGGGTGAGATGACAACTTGTGGGTTCAGAGGAATGAATTCAGTCATCAGGCTTAGTGACAAGCTTTTAGCCACAGAAGTATCTCATAACCCTGCTTTTTTTTTTTTGGTTTTTCGAGACAGAGTTTCTCTGTGGTTTTGGAGATCCACCTGCCTCTGCCTCCCAAGTGCTGGGATTAAAGGCGTGCGCCACCAGCGCCCGGCTTGGAACTAGTTCTTGTAGACCAGACTGGCCTCGAACTCCTGGACATCAGCCTGCCTCTGCCTCCAAGTGCTGGGATTAAAGGCTTGTACCACCACCGCCTGGCTCAGCCCTGCATTTTTTTTTAAGATTTATTTATTTATTATGTATACAACATTCTGCCTCGATGTGTGCCCGCATGCCAGAGCAGGGCACCAGATCTCAGTACAGATGGTTGTGAGCCACCATGTGGTTGCTGGGAATTGAACTCAGGACCTCTGGAAGAGCAGCCTTAACCTCTGAGCCATCTCTCCCGCCCCTCAGCCCTGCATTCTTGAGATTGCTTATATTAGCCTCAATCACAGTGTGCCTGTTTGTATGTCAAGTTGAATTCAGTAAAAGAAAAATAGGGAATAGAGATCTCTTTGGCCATACTCATGAGCTATGGAATCTTCAGTAAGCTGATATTTTTTTCTTCTTTGTAAAGTGAGGGTTAAATGTAAAGGATTCTCAAGATACCCTGACTTATTGTCCGGTTTGCTGCTTCATGGACTGCTAGCTTATCAGCACCAGTCATTGCTAAGTTCTGAGTGATTAGAATTTGCCTTCAGCTGTTCCTAGCCACTCAGTAACAATGCATGTAAACCAGAGCTGGCATGTTTTTAGAATGGTAGTATTTTTTTAAATAATTAATCACACAGATAACACCTTTGTAGGTATTTTGTACTGGGTGAATCTATATTATATTAGTATAGGCATGTATGTAGTCAATTCTTCAGACAGTAAATGATAAAATTAGATAAATTATAGATAAAGCTGAGTGGCTGCTATCCAAATTAAAAAACAGAATAAAAGCCCTAAAAGTATAAAGTAATGGATAATCACATGAATGAATGAATAAAAGGCTTTGATGAGTTTTTTCTTCCTGTTTGTCTATATTTCTGTGGTAATAAGCTGAAACTAAGGCAAAGTTTTCCTCTAGAGAAATGTTAGATTATGAAAATGTTGGCTGCGTCTTTGCTTTTTCTGCCAGTTCAAAATTTGAAATAATTGCTGAGACATATTACACAAATTTTAGAATGAAATAGCAGATTTTTGTTTGACAAAAAATTATTGCTCTGCCAGGTGTGGTGGCACATGCCTTTAATGCCAGTAGTCAGGGGGCTGAGTTCAAGGCCAGCCTGGTATACAAGTTATAGCCAGGGGTACATAGAATGATCCAGTCTCAAAAGAGAATTTAATTTTTTTTTTTTTTTTAAATTAGGGCCCAGCTTGACAGCTCAGTGGGTAAAGATCTTGCTGCCACACTGGCAACCTAAGCTTAATGTTTGATTCCCG